TAGTAAATACACGTAATGAAGCAATTAGCGCTAGAATCAGATGCTTCCTCCTAACCTTAACTTTTGTATAATCGAGTTTAGCTCCATGCCAACGTCCCTGAAAGTGCTACGGTCCACCTCTGCTTTGTTGCTCGATATATTCGTCCTAAATATGAACTGAAATCCCTTTGATTCGGCGCCGGATTTTGCGGCAAAATTACACTTAATTTAACAAGCCACGATGTGCCCTTTTTAAATGAGGTTGAGTGCCCTTTTCAGTATCCTTTCCATTATAATAAAATTCGGATTTAATGGAACGGAGCGTTTCGAACAGAGAAGTTATATCAGTTAAACAATTTAATTTATTTTGAGTTTTTTTTATTTGGTGAATGTTTACTGAAGTATGGTTGATTCTCACTATACCTTCCGTTTTCATTCCATATCCGTTCCATATTTTCGATTGCTTTCACGCTATACGTATCTCTATATCGTATTTATTATACGTAAAATTTATATTATTACGAAAGATTTATTTTAAAAATTTGTATCTTTTGAAAAAGGTAATAGATTTAATTAAGAGGTGGAGGAATAAATAAATATCAGTAAAATGTTCACAGACCTGGTACAAACGTAAGAACTTCACAACGCTGTTTCCGATATGCTTCAGTCCATCCGTCAATAAAATGTATGGAAGGAAAGAATATGGAACGGAAGGGAAACGGAACGGATAGTGTACAGGGTGGACCATTTTGGATTTTTTTTTTTATTATAATAAAATTCGGGTTTAATGGAACGGAGGGTTTCGAACAGAGAAGTTATATCAGTTAAACAATTTAATTTATTTTGAGTTTTTTTATTTGGTCAATGTTTACTGAAGTATGGTTGGTTCTTCACCATAGACTTAAAATAAAATATAGACTACACTATTTACATCTCAACGCGGACAAACAACCTTTTTTGTACACATGTTTACTTCTGGGTACAGTCGACCGAGCCTTCCTCATCCAGCCTATTTTGTCACGTCTTTAATATTATCAATATTTTTTTTCTTGTTATACACATATATTGAGATATTAATACTACTGTTTAATAAAGTAGGTTTTAATATTCCATAGATGTATTAAATAGTCCTTATACTACTAAATTATAAGTCGGATACTGTTTAATAAGGATAAGTTCTTTACAATATGACAACACCGATTAGAGGCGAGGTAGCCTATTCATTCATTTATTACCTTGTAGTACGTGTCGCACGTGTGCGGTAAAGCTTTGTTGCCGCTATCTCCCCGGCTGTATTAACGCATTTTCTTAGCTTGTAAGTTAAGTGTTTATTTTATTGACTTTTTCTGTTCAAAAACTATAAAATATGGTTCGCCAGTGCCAAATTTGCAAGAAATTTGACTTAAATAATCCATTTAAGTCTTGAAACGACTTTTGACCGGTAGGCAACTCTCAATTTACCCATTGGCAGTCAGTGGCGTTGTTGTAGAAAGCCACTTATTTAGATAATATTTTAGTAAAATGTAAAATCTGAATTTTTTCTTTTGCATTACATTATTTACTTACTTACATTGTAACAAAATCATAATTATAACCCTGTTAATAATTAATAATGTTTTTATTAAAAATATATTCCGGTTTATTCTAAAATTATCTTCAGAATCTAAAATAACGTACAAGAATTTTAAAATGATATTACATTATGAAACAATATTTTTAATATACCGGGTCGTCTCAAAAAGTGGCTCAACCTATAACTTTTTTATTTTTTCAGATAAAAAAACAGATTTGTATGTTAGTAGGTATATGACATAAATTAGGATTTATTGACGTATGCAATTGTTTTTGGTCTCTTCCTGTTTCACCGAAATGATTACATCTTTTGATTTTTAAAGGCACCCTCGGTATATCGCTACTTTATTCGATAAAAAATGACACTCTGAATAGAATGACATATCATATGTCAATTTTTGACATTGTCGCTTAAAAACATATCCTATTTTAAATTTCAATCAGTTTTTTCAATCCACTAAGTTTTAATCAAGGAGCCTTGGAAAAATAGTTTTGATCGTCTAATAGGTTTCGTGTCTTGTCTAGACCGGTTAAAAGATGTACAAATCGTATTTTTAATCATACATATGTCAATTTTTTCAAACGGAACAAGGGTGACTCATTAGCATATTTGGAAAAAGCATTTTTTTATGAATATATTGATACCACACATTATACCACAAAAGTTGACATATGATATGTCATTCTATTCAGAGTGTCATTTTCTATCGAATAGATAGTAGAAATATACCGAGGGTGCCGTTTAAAAATTAAAAGTTATAGTCATTTCCGGTGAAACAGGAAGTGACCAAAAACAATTGAATGCGTCAATCAATCCTAATTTATTTCATATACTAACATACTAAATCTTGTTTTTTTTATTTGAAAATATAAAAAAATTATGGGGGATGAGCCACTTTTGAAACGCACCCGGTATAATAAAGACAATTACCGAGTTAAATAAATGTAGTTTTATTTTATCCACTTCCTATCACCTTCCTTGCTTTAATGGAACAGATTTATGTTTTCTCTAATTTACATAATAAGACATCACTTAACCAGAAAAAAATTACAACAATCATATTTTTTTTTCTCTCCCTGTCGCCGATTCTATTATATCTGTGAAATAGATCCTGTTTTGATTAATATTAGGGGTTGTAAATGTTTGACTAAAATTAATAATTTATTATTAATTTCAAAAATTACCTAATTTCGATTATAAAATTTCTTCTATAACGTGTATTTTATTATTTTTATCCTTTTGCTACTAAATTGTTTTTCTAAACTTTTTATTTAAAAAACCTGTCCTAAATCTTAATAAAATATAAAAAAGTTCAAATACGATATATTTTTTAATTTAATTATAGCTTCATTAAAATAAAAAAAAATTACCCGGCTATGATACGGAGAGTTCAGGTGTACTTGAGAAACGAAAGACAGTGTTGTGTTTCTCGGCAGAGTCGTCAGGGAACGACCGTTACGACAGAGACAACCTATCTATCGCTCGTGTCGCACTCGTTATAACCTAAAACAATAACACAACAATAACAAGACAGTGTCTGACCGCATGTTCCAGCTATTTATGAATGAGATGCTCAGTCTATATTTTATTTTAAGTCTATGGTTCTCACTATACCTTCCGTTTCCATTCCATATCCGTTCCATATTTTCGATTGCTTTCACGCTATACGTATCTCTATATCGTATTTATTATACGTAAAATTTATATTATTACGAAAGATTTATTTTAAAAATTTGTATCTTTTGAAAAAGGTAATAGATTTAATTAAGAGGTGGAAGAATAAATAAATATCAGTAAAATATTCACAGACCTGGTACAAACGTAAGAACTTCACAAAGCTGTTTCCGATATGCTTCAGTCCATCCGTCAATAAAATGTATGGAAGGAAAGGATATGGAACGGAAGGGAAACGGAACGGATAGTGTACAGGGTGGACCATTTTGGTTGTTTCTATAGGGTATCTAGGAAACCGTGAGAAATATTCAAATTTTGATACTGCAGTCTCGGGTTCTTTTTTCGAAAAAATTACAATGGCGCAAACGGATCGTGGCTATCTTGATCGGTTTCGAAGCTACAGGGGGATTCTCAAATTTTGTACTTTTTGAAGATGTTCGATAGTTTGGTTTATTTTAGCAACCACGGAAAAATGGATTATACATTCTAAAGGCACTTTTCTGTGTAGAATGCAGCGGCGTAGTCAGACTTTTTTCGAAAAAAATATTTTTTGAGATATTAACTATACTTATGTTTTTTTTAAAATAGAACCCCCTGTATATTTTTAAATTTTATTATTCAGCTTGGCATGGGCTTCTGGAAAATATATAACACTCTATATTTATTTTCACTATTAACCTCAACATTTCAAATTTTTCTTAAAATATCCACTTAGTGGATAGTAGGCCGCGCCGAGTAAGAAAGTAAACGGTTGTCATGGTGATCGGGACATACCTATGATGGATGCGTGACATCTCATCTCAACAGATTGAAGTGTGTGTATTTTAAATGATAAAAAATTAGTAAATTTGAAAATTTTGAGAAATATACTATGTTAGAATATTATATTGAGTCTAACAAACATAAGCAAATGGCAGCTGATTTATATTTTGAGCGGTATCCAGAGCGCGAGCAACCAAACCCAGCCATTTTTAAAAGGTTAGAAGATAGTTTAATCAATTTTGGATCTTTTCAAAAACCGCGTCTGAAAAATTATCAGAACTGAATTATTTTATTGTGTTATTTGCGCTATTGCATTCCATGATATAAAGAAATATAAGAATTTTATTTTTTAACCACTTTATACAGTCCATTTTATGAAAGAAAAATGGTACATTTAATACAAAACAAAAATGGAACAATTCTAAGGCTACTTCCTCTTGAACTTACGATCGAGATACTTTTGGAAAATACAAAGTTTTGCCTTCCTAATTTTTGTTCTAAAAAGATATAATTGGTATCATTGAATAAATATTTCTTAAAAAGAACGAAAAGTTAGGCATCAAAACTTGTATTATTTCCTAAATTCGTTCATAAGAAGTAGTTTTATCTAGCACAAGATGTATATACGAAGCTAAATACATACCTATACACGCGGTAGTCACAACTGCAATGTGTAAACAGAATTTAAACGTAATACACAAGCACTGTGTATCCTACGGCACACTGTGTATCCCTTACTTTGTGTATACGTAAATGCTATACTGTGGCTACATTGTGAGGCGGACCTTTAACCTTTGTGCATACGTGTTGAACTACAATGTGTAAACGTAGCATATTTACATCGGGGGAATTGTGTCACCCTGTGTCTACATCTAATAATGTAAACACATCGTAAATGTGATTTGATGGGAATGCTCGTACCTCGAATTTGTAGCACCCTATATAATTAAAATATTCTCTCATTATAATGCCTCTTTCGTTCACGACTATACTTATACAAATTAAAAACAAATAACTTTTTTTGGAATCTTTATTCACTTTAAGTGAATTACAATTCATCATTTACAATTTTAGTGTCCCAGTTCGTCTTGGATTTCTTGGAATGTCTTGCCCTTGGTCTCCGGCATTACAAATAGCACAAACAACACCCCCGAAGCTGATACCAGAGTGAATATGAAAAATGTGGTAAACGCTCCGGCCATATTACTGACAGGAGCATATCCGATGGTCACCAGAAATGCCAAAAACCAATTGAACATGCCGGCACAAGAGCTCATTCTTGCCATGATAGCTGGGGGAAACAGTTCAGCGGACGCCAACCACGGGATTGGACCCATACCGAAAGAAAAGGCTATAATAAATATAACGAGCGATAGCAAAGGTAGCCAGCCCAAGCCGGTAATTGTTTCGTCGGACACCATCTTCTTTTCTTTAAGGAGAAAATAGATTCCCATAAGGAAAGTCGAGAAAGCCATAGCACCATCGGATAACATCAGAAGTATCTTTCTGCCCAGTTTTTCAACACCCCAGGTGGCAAAAACTGTTGCGAACACTTGCACCACGCCGATGATTATAGTACAATAGGCTGGATTAATGGTAGAGCCTGCGTCAACGAATATGGCACCAGAATAGAACATCACAGCGTTGATACCGCTCAACTGCTGATAGAACATCAGCATAAAGCAAATGAGAGACGACTTTTTACCTTGCGGGGTTTTAAGCTGTGGCCAAAATTCACCCTTGAGGGCTTCCTGTCTGTCGAGTTCGGCCCGTATGCTATTTATTTCGCCGGATGGGTCGTAGTCCTTGCCTCTCAACCTTTTGAACGCTGACTCTGTTCCCTCCTTATTCCTCTTTTTCATCAGGTAAACTGGTGTTTCGGGTTGAAATATGTAGCAAATACCAAAAGCGATAGGTACTGCCAGGCACGCGAAACAAAACAGTTTTACGCCGAATATAAAGCCAAGGACTTGCGCGTACAGAATGCCGATAGTAATGAACAGTTGGAAGAAAGCACCTGAAATAAAAGAAAAAAAAATATTTTCTTAAACGTTTAAGTACCGGGTGGCCAACTAAGAATGGACGCCGGCTGTATCTCAGAAACTACTTATCGTACAACTTTGGGAAAAAAATTCTAATAAGTAAATCGACCAAGAGATATCGCTGGAAATTATTTTCAAGTTCGAAAAATGCCCGCTAGGGGGCGTTTCTCTGATAGTCAATCAGAAAACAGAGTTTTTCTCAAAAATATGCAGGTTAACAGCTATTTTAAATGTTACTATTGTAATTCTCGTAAAATTTGTAATTTTTTTGATATAGAGTATTTTGGTCTATCTCATAAAATAAAGTGGTGGGGGAAGGTTAAACTTGCTTTTATTAAAATAAAGATAACTTTGTGTGTGTGTGTGTGTGTGTGTGTGTGGTTTGGGTTACCCAATTTAAACAAACTAGGGTTCGTTTAAAAGAGCTTTTCTTCCTTAATGATCTCCAGTATAAATTTTGTTTCCATCATTTTCTTCGTGGTAGTTAGACGGCGCTGTTTGACATCATAACAGATATTGCGCTTTTGCATAAAAAAAATAAATAGGAGGCTATATTTCTCTTTGCACAGTTCACAGAGCACAAAATTTCCAGAATATCAGCGCAAACCGCAACTTTCTATCTTCTCTCTAACCGAAATATTTAGAGAACAAATCATGTTATGCAGCCGCTTAGAACTATATGGTCTAAAAATTGTAGTAGTAGGCTAGGAAACAAAAAGAGATAAATTGGTTACGTCAAAATATCAAAACATATATTCTCCCAAGTAGCATTTTCACGACTTGCGACCACATGTTTACTAAACACAACGTTGGATTAGTTACAAAAAATAGTTAGCTCTCTACCTTGGGTATTAAAATAAATTTAAACGTTTTTATAACGTTGTGCCGACGTTGGACTAGTACTACAGCAAAGTAGAAGCTTCTGCGACGTCGAATAAACGTTGTCTTGTAACCTTTTTTGCTTAAGTGATTTTTAGGTGATTCGGACAACGTAGTTACAACGTTGGACAATATAGAGTTTTCCGACGTCAGTTTCAGGACCTATTCCAACGTTATGCAAACGTCGTCTGTTTTACTAATTCCAACGTTGTTTAGATTTCCTTATTCTTACGTTGGGAGGACGTCGAGTCACTACCTTTTTGCAACTGTATTGAACCATAACCTTAAATCTTAAATTTTCACTTCATTGTTCTGTTCAGTCAGACAGTTCAGTGCTGTTTTTGTTTTTATAAAAAAAAAAACTTAATTAAAATGGGACATAAGAAAGGTACATATAAAACTAAATTTAAATATACATCGACATAATATATTACCGATAGTTTATCCACTCCCTCGTTTATTTAGATTATAGAGGGCGGCACAAGCTAGACTCTAAGATGACTATTAGGCAATCTTGCGACTAGTATACTACCTGTTAAGGCCGAACTGCGACTTTATTAGTCCAGTATGCGACTACTCGAACTACTCCATCTTAATCTCCAAAACCACAAAGTGAAAGCCGCCATGTTGTTAAATAAGAAAATGTTTCGTTCCTAAAATAGCAATTCTTGCTTTTTGAATACATTAACTTGAAATATTTGACCCTAAAAAACACGCGGAAACAATTTTTTCGACTGCGAATAAATTATTCTCATTTTACTAAAAAAAAATTCAAGAACATTTTTAAAACTTCTTTAATTTTAAGGCCCATTAGTATTTTTCAAAGGAGAAACAATACATTTAACAATAAAGTTGTTTGCGTTTAACTTTTTTGCCTTGGGTAACGAGGTACAGAGTCGGTTAAAGTGTTTCAATAATTATGATCTTCAAACATCCTCCACATTTAAATACTTTTGTTTTGTTTTCCTTCACTGCCATCTGACATATGTCTCTAACTAAATCATAAAAATAATATTTTTACTATAATTATCCCAATTTAGGATAAAACGCGACTTAGACGCCATATTAGTTTTGTATTTCTGTGAATTAGGATTTTAAACAACGTTGCAGTTTGTACTAAATTAGGCTTCTAGCCAACGTCGGTATCCAACGTCGTTTCGACCCGAAATTATTTCCTAGATAGTTCCGTCGAAATTATTCTCCAAACTAGTGCAGACTAGGGTTGGCACGAGGTTGTGCCGACGTTGCGCCCCGACGTTTGGTCGCGTGACACAACGTTGTCCCGACGTCCAAATGCTGCTTGGGCTAATTTCATTTTCATACCTTTTAATTGTTATTTATTTATGTTCATTCTTGATTCGACGCCATAAATTAAAACCCAGGCATATTGAATCCGATGACCTAGATGACCATGGAAATGTGCAGTTCCAGCATCTCTATCTACTAAAGTAAGTGGTATTCAAGAAGCCCCACACATTCATAGCAAAATAAGCGGCACAACTGCACCAACTGATGAAATGCAATTTCACTATGATAGATCCCCAAACAACAAAATTGGTAATTAATTTCTTAGAAATTATGGATAGTTCATTTCATTCAGATAATTAAAAAAGTCCAATCATTCGCCATCCTAGAATTCCTGCCTAAACATTTACCGACCAACGGTCTCGGTGCTGAACAACTTGCATCAAGGGTAGATTTGGACCAGTAGTCCATATTATTAAGATTCGCACCACTTTCGCACCACTTTATTTTATGAAATAGAGCAAAATATTCTCTATCAAAAAAAAATTACAAATTTATCGATGATTACAATAGTAATATTTAAAATACCTGTTCACCTGCTTATTTTTGAGAAAAATCCTGTTTTCTGATTAGCTAGCAGAGAAACGCCCCCTAGCGCACATTTTTCGAACTTGAAAGTAATTTCCAGTGATTTTTCTTGGTCGATTTACTTATTAGAATTTTTTTCCCAAAGTTCTTAGTTGGCCACCCGGTACTGCACTATACAGGGTGGTCCGAACTGTATTCCGGAAACTTCAGCAGCATATTTTGCTGATAAAAATAAGTAAAAAAGTTCATATAAATATATGTTCTAAAATGCTTTTGAATTTTTGCAAATAATTTCTGAAGTAACGTCAATATTTGGATGAAAACTTGTGTCTGGGAGTTTTTGCAGCGAGAAATTTGATTTTGATGTCAATATGACTCATATTTGTAGGGGGCGCCGTACCTGTATAAAACAAAACTACTGAGTGAAAAAATATACATTTTCTTGATTTTCTACGTAAAAAATGTCTCTTGGTAAAAATTGATAAGGGCAACCGTTTTCAACATATTTAAAATGGAAATAGTCAATACATGTCATTATTGACTAAAAATAAACATGTTGAGTAGATAGTTATTCGACAGAAATGAGAAATTTAGACACTTCTTATTTTCTTAAACTAATCATAAGTTTTTCTTCGAAAAAATGATAATGTGCCAAAAGTTCAACAGAAAAAATAGTTTCTTTATTTTTTTCTGTTGAACTTTCTTTATTTTTTTCTGTTGAACTTTTGGCACAAAAACATTTCAAATTTATGATTTCAGTTTAATAACTAATTAGTCAACATGTTTAATTTATGTCAATGATGACAGGTATTGGTAATTTCGATTCCAAATATCTCGAAAACCATTACTCGTAGCGATTTTTCCCAAGAGATCTTTTTACGTAAAAAACGTCGCAAATGTATATTTTTAACTCACTAGTTTTATACAGGTACGGACGAAAAGTTATTACTCTTAAAACCAGTTAAAAAATATGTAGCCATAATGACATGAAAATCAAATTTCTCAAAAACTCCCAGACACCAATTTGCATTGAAATATTGACGTTACTTCAGATATTATTTGAAAAAAATCGAAATAAAAATGAAATTTGTACACCCTGTATCTCCGAAACTAAGCATTTTAGGACATACATTTATACGAACTTTTTTGCTTACTTTTATCTGCAGAATATGGTGCCGAAGTTTCCGAAATACAATTCGGACCACCCTGTATATTAGGGTGTCCGTTATTTACAGAGTTGATCACGAGGGACGCCTTCTAAATGTTTAGTTTATTGTCTAAAAAAATATCGACCCTTGATAAAAAAAAGGGACTAGATTTAAGTTTCCCTTTGATCCAGTCTGTATACTATTTCTTTGGATTTTCTGCACCCGTATGCAAAAACTACACTAAACACTATATCTTATAGAAAATAAAATGTTTTGCGTTGAATTTGAGCGATTTCATCTGAAAAATTATTAATTTGGAAGAAAACCGGCAACAAGCCGCAGAAAATAATAATATTTTATGTCGTCTCACCTAAAGTGCCTCTAATTTCTGTTTGAGCAGTTTCGCTGGTATAAAGTGGAGCCACAATACAAAACGATCCGCCTGCCATACCGGTCAGAAATCTTCCCACCAGGACCATTGCTGTATTTTGCGCGAAAGTAATTGCTAACCATCCGATAGAGAAAGGTATTACAGTCAGTAAAGTGGTCCATTTTCTTCCGATTGCGTCAGCTAATACTCCGATCGGAATGCAGACAAACATGGCGCCCAAACACATAACGGATCCAACAAAGGAAAGATCCAGTTTGACATCGTTCAACTCACCACCTTCCAATTCTAAAATTAATATTAGATGAGCCATTATACATGGTGTAAATAAATAGGTCCCGAGTTTCTTATCTAAAATTTATCCCTTTGGTTTTTTCTTACAAAGAAAATATAAGTGTTTATCATGATATATTCTTTGATGTTTATCAAAATCACAAGTAGACAGCGCAGAAAGACGCTGTTTTTTTTCGTTCATTATACCGGGTGCGTCTCAAAAGTGGCTCACCCCCTATAACTTTTTTATTTTTTCAGATAAAAAAACGAGATTTGGTATGTTAGTATATGACATAAATTAGGATTGATTGACGTATTCAATTGTTTCTGGTCACTTCCTGTTTCACCGGAAATGCACCCTCGGTATTTTTTGCTTTATTCGATATAAAATGACATTTTGAATAGAATGACATATCATATGTCAACTTTTGACACTCTCGCTTAATAAAAAATCGTATTTTAAAATTCAATCTAGAGTGTCATGGCTATGGTAAAAACACTAATCCTTAATCAAGGAGCCTTGGAAAAATAGATTTGATCGTCTAATGCTTTTAGTGTCTTGTCTTGGCAAGTTAGAAAATGCTCAAATCGTATTTTTAATCATATCTCAATTTTTTCAAATGGAACGAGGGTGGCTCATTAGCATATTTGGACAAAGCATTTTTTTACGAATAATTTGATACCACACACTTGGTATTTCGAGTCAAATTTTCGTAACGAACCGCAAGTTATAATTTCAAATAAACCATATGCGAAAATGTCAAAAGTTGACATATGATATGGCAGTGTATTCAGAGTGTTATGTTCTATCGAATAAAGTAAAAAAATACCGAGGATGCCATTTAAAAATCAAAAGTTGTAGTCATTTCCGGTGAAACAGGAAGTGACCGAAAACAATTGAATACGTCAATCAATCGTAATTTATGGCATATACTAACATACCAAATCTTGTTCTTTTAACTGAAAAAATAAAGAAGTTATAGGGGTGAGCCACTTTTGAGACGCACGCGGTATTTTGCTGGAAAAGAACTTGAGCTGTCTGGCAAGTTTAACAGCTGACTTACGAGGTATTTTTCAACATGAGACCCCATTGAAAAGAAGTAGATAAGCAAGCTGCGTTCTGAACCAAAATCGCGTGCTTTTTTAAATGGAGGTCCCAAAACCGTATTTTGGTACAATTCAAGGTCATACGCCGTTTCGAGACAGACAGACAGACAGTGCGACAGACAGAGATGTATGCTTATCCCCACTGTCTGTCTGTCTGTCTCAAAACTCTCTTTAATAAATAAATCGAAAGCGGAAAAAAGTTTTGAAAGAGACAGACAGACAGTGGGGATAAGCATACATCGCTGTCTGTCCCACTATCTATCTGTCTGTCTCTCTGTCCGCCTGTATCTCTGTCTGTCTTATCAAACGGCGTATGACCTTGAATTGTACCAAAATACGGTTTTGGGATTTTTATTTAAAAAAGCACGCGATTTTGGTCCAGAACGCAGCTTGCTTATCTACTAAAAGATTATTCAAACATGAAATATAATTTCTATAATAAGAATATCGAAATTTAAAAGTTTTTGACATTTCTAATATTTTATCAAATTTTTCCATATTAAGCCGATATTTTTCAAGAACCTAACATTAGTTTACCAATCTGATTATCCCGCTTTTACAACGGGATACGTCGGCAGTTAGACTGTATGATCTGAAAACTTTGTCAGGCCACACAAAATGCAGTTACGTCGAAGGATACGATCTTTAGTTTTGGGACTGTCAGTTTTTGAACCGGTGATTTCTCGAATCTATAACAGAGGATATTATATCCCTCTTTCTCTATTGCCTGCTCGGATTTGAGATCAATTCCTATTGTGAGGACCTGACCATGGCCCTCCTCCCTTGAGTTGACGACCCGTCAACTCGATGTCCTCAAAATGTTCTGGAAAAGCTGGTGATACGTCCCTGCTTGTCTCCCGGTGTTGGCCGGCTTTCCATCGTGGCTTCTTCTCTCTTTGTCAGAGCAGAGGTGAGAAGTTCTCGCTCTCTTTTGCCCTTTGGTCGAGATGCGCCAGACTGTTTCTTGGTTCCTTTAGTCTCCCCTTTTTCTCTACATTCTATATCTTTCAAATTCTCCTGTCCTTATAAGTTCTTTTAGGTTACATAACCTCTCTAAAATTCTAACTACTAAACAAGTTTTCTAGTTTTTTTTCGTTACAAAATAATCCATTAATAAATTTAATTTACAATATTAGAAAAACTGTTAATCCAATTTATATTAATAGTAATAATGTACCTTATGTGGTCTCAGCTTTACATGATTTTCTGCCTTATATTGATAATCTTTATGTTAGTCAAAATTTTCCGTGTTATGAAGTTAGTTTTAATATTTTGAATGATTCTATTAAATTGAATTTTTGGCAACGCATACAATTTTGGTAATGAGGGATTGGATACTTGCAATTTTCTCTTTCTCAGTGTAAAAATAAAAGTGTTTTGGTGTATTGTGGTGATTTAGTGTTTTATTTTGCTCTAAGTATGGAAAATAGTTCACCGAAAAAAAAGTAGACAACTATGGAAATGAAAAGGAACTCATAACATATTTTTAAAATTTAGTGCAAAATAAATGTTTTACAAAATATTTCTTTTCTCTTTGGTAATGAAAATGCGTGATTTAAGAAGCTCTTAAGTCACTCAAAATGCGTGAGTTAAGAGCTTCATAACTCACTGACGTAAATGATTTTACATTCACCAAAATACCGATTTTATTCATAAACCAAAGAAACTTTTTCCTTTTGAACAACTCAATTTCAATATATGTTTATAGATAAACTTGGATAAGTTTAGATTGTTTAGATAGGAATGCAATTTAAAAAATTTCTCGAAACACCAAAGTTACGGTGATATTGTCTGTCCTCCGAAAGACAATTTCGAGATATTATGTAAATTTGTTGGCAAACTGCAAACTCTCTTACAAGAGGTGATGCGAATAAAGTGAAAGAAGAAAAGTTTTGAAGCAAGTTTACTTTTGTGTCGTTGATTTCGTTACCACACATTGAATTTCTAAACAAATACTCACTTTTGGTCGTCTCGTCGAAAAAGTTACCTCTTTGATTTAAATTACTTTGAAACTGAGTTACCAAAAGAAATCTAGTTAGGCGCTCCATTATTTAGTTAAACGCTTATTAAAAAAGTCAATTTGTATTTGAGTAAAGTTGTTTTGATTGTTTCTATTTAAAAATAAGAAAACTCTAATCTATACTAATATATAAAATCCTTATGTGACTGACATACTGATTAATCACGATCCTGCTCAAACCACTCAACGTAAGAAGCTCAATTTTGGCATACAGGCTGATTCTAGGGTGTAGAGGTTCGATAAGAAGGGATTTTTCGAAATTCCAGCCCCTCAAATATTACAATATTTTTTATTTAAAAAACGGTCAAGTTACCGAAAAAACGCTTAAACACGTATATTTTATTTTGTTTTTTTACACATTTTAAGATTTTTTAAAAATGTATGCAGGGTGTTTCGAAAAATCTGGTCATTGGTTAATCACGATCCTGCTTAAAGCGCTTGACGTAAAAAGCTGATTTTTGGAAAACGGATTTACTTTAGGGTGTAGAGGTTCGATAGGAAGGGATTTTTCGAAATTCGAATTCTAAGGTTGTGAAACTTTCCCTCAAATATTAAAATATTTTTTATTTAAAAACCTGTGAGTTTTTCGGAAAAAAACTCTTAAACACATTACCTCAGATTACATATTTTTGTAATTTAGCCTATTTATATAGAACAATACATTTATTATATTCGAAGGTAGAAATTTTTAGAACGCGTTTTGCCGGTTTTCTGCTAATCATTCCCATTAATAAGTTCACAGTATACTCTAAAACAATTTATCTTGAAAGTTAGCAGGCGATTGTGCAGGAATCTATTTATAGCCGTTGATCGATAGAGTGCCATCGCTATTTAGACTAAATTGTTTTGGAGAATAACCTATTTATCCCCTAAAATCAGGTTTTAGCTTTAAAAAAATAAAGATTTACAATAGTGTACTCAAAAACTGACAGAATTATATGAAAATAAATATATTTTTCATAAAATTTGCCAATGTATTCTCCGTTTCAAACTTTTATTGCCTACTACACACACCGGAAAAATCTAGGGATATCATTTTATTAAAGTTAAAAATAAATGTTTTGAATAAACAACCACATATCTGTAGGCCGATTCTTTCTACTTCGATTGAAAGGAAGTAGTTACACTAGTTATTTCTAAATTTGGGATATTTGCAGAAGTGTTTGTGCGTTTTATGTCAAATGTATAAAAAGCACCTAGCATCAATTGTTCGAATTTGGCTATGTTTTTATGATAACTGGCCAGAATTCATTCAAATAACTCTGTTTAGTATTAAACGACATTATGGAGCGTAGACATCTTAACAGAGACGAAATGCTAAGGGCCATGGGTATGCTCGAAGCTGGAATGCGCCAAATCGACGTAGCTACAGCATTAAATACAACGCAAAGTGTAATATCGCGATTAAGTGCACGCTACCGTGAAAGTGGTGATGTTGCTGAAAGGCACACAGGGTGAAATCGCATTCTACCCCTCAGCAAGATCATTTTTTACAATTAAATGCTCGACGCCGACCGACTCTTACAGCACCACAGCTTAGTTTAATTCTCCAGGAAACACATAATGTAACCGTTAGTCCTGACACTGTTCGCAATAAATTAAGAGAGGTCAACTTAAGAAGCAGACGCCCCTGGAAAGCTCAACCCTTAACGAGAGGAAATCGAGAGGTACGATATTTGTGGGCTCAAGATCATGTTCAGTGGTCGAATGAACAATGGGCCAATATTCTCTTCACGGATGAGTCACGCTTTGGAATTCATCCGGATTCCAGATGGCTTAGGGTATGGAGAGAACTGGGAAATCTGATTCGGTTGGATCATGTTCAGGAAGTGCACCCTTATCAAGGTGGAACAGTTATGTCCTGGGGAGGAGTCCAGTTAGG